GCAAGTTTTGATGTACTTAGGAAAATGCCAGGCCTAGCTGAGGGGCTTAAGTTAAAGACGTGTAATGCATATTTAGACTATGCTGTGTGTAAAGTCAAAATCCAGGGTTTATCCTGTAAGTAAGAAAAGTGAAAGACAGAGTATTGCAATTAGTTCATGCTGATTTGGTGGGCCCCATGACACCCTCTTTAGGAAGAGCTGGATATGCCTTAGTCATAGTAGATGACTACAGTAGATATGGGTTTTGTTATCTGTTGAAAAACAAAACAAGTATTACAACAATTCAGGCAATGGGTAACAATGGTAGAGAGACAGTATGGGTATAAGGTATGCCAGCTACAGACAGGGGATCACAGTTTATGTCTGAGAAGTTTCAAAGGTGGTTAAGCAGTCTAGGAATAAGGCATAGATGAACAAATCTTTATTCGCCTGCAGAAAACGGAGTGGCTGAACAAAGAAATGGTGTAATGGACTATGAAGGATGCATTGCTTGCTGATGCAGGGATGAGTAAAGCATACTGCGGGGAAGCCACAAGGACAGCAAATTATACCATTATGGTATAATGGTAGGTTATGGGGTGTAGCAATACAGGAAACGCCATATTACATGTAAGGAAACACTTGTGTTCATTTAAGGACATTTGGCAGTCCAAAGGGTACAAAAAGAAAAAGTTAGAAAAAGGCCAGGAAGCTAAGGTTTGTTGGATATGAGCCGGGAACAAAAGGGTACAGGTTTACAGATGGTACCAAACAAGTAGTGATTTCAAGATCTGCTAGTTTTGCAGAGCAGAATAATTGGAACAGGGTACATGCGAATCATGAGGTGTTCATGCTAATGCATAGACCTAGTTTACCAGAAGGTGAGACAGGGAAGAAGAGACATGAAACTGGGTCAGATATAGAGAAGAGCATAGACCTGTGATAAAAGTGAAAGTACAGAAGAGGAGAGACATACATGAACATATAATACCATGGAGATCTGAGTGGAGTAATAAAAGAATACCTCCGGAAAGGTTCACAGCAAGTGAGATCTGAGTGGAGTAATAAAGGAATACCTCCTGAAAGGTTCACAGCAAGTGAGGTTAGAGAATACAGTACCAGGTATGAATCCCAACAGGTCTAGGTCCACTGTGATCGCCAGCTGGTACCATGTCTGGAATTCCTTGGGGCAGGCAGTTTTGGTATTACTCTCAGAAGTGATAGGCCACAGTAAGCATTCCGGCCATGCTCTCAGCTTCCCAGCCAGGTTACAGAAATACTGAATGTATTTGGCTAGTGGCCGGTTCCCCTGCCTTATGGCATGAATCCTGGATTTTGCCAGGCAGATTCAGACAGAGTCTCCAAACCTGGCTTGAAGTTCCCCAGCTCGGGTGTTCCTTCATTGTGGAGGTACATCACCCACTCTGCCACCTCATCCTCGAGGCTCAAAGTTCACGCAGGCAACTTCATCTAGGTACATTGCCCCATACCGCTCCAGATGATTCCATGCCTGGCTCAGGAAGTAGGCTAGTTTCTCTAACTGCCAATCAAACACAATTTTTAGAGGCAGGTGCTCCTGTTCATCCCAAGCTAGTACATAGCCTGGTGGCAGCCCTCTCCCTGAGGGGCTGGCTTGAGCCTAAGCTCCTACTGTTGCAGGGATTCTCTGGGCATGCCCTGCAGCCACAGGGGAAATGGCAGCCCCTACTGGGGTAGGCCCAGCTCCTTGAACAATATTCCCCGGTCTCACTCTTTGGAGAGGAGAGGAGGCTACCAACACTTGGCCCATCCCAAGCCTCGCTCCCAGGACTAACAAATTCATTGACGCTTTCCCCACATCTCCACTGACAAATCTCTCATGCAGTTGCTCTACAGATGGGCTATGGCCGTGATGGTGAACCTATGGCACGCATTTATTGATTTAGCTAGTTTTGAGGCTTCTCTACTCAAAAATGCAAGTAGTTTCAGATAAAAGAAAAGAAAGAAAATCATGACTCACTCGAAGAATAATACAACCTGCTACAAACCAAACCTAAATAAAGGAGGCTTCACAAGAACTCTGGGAGATCAGCTTTCAGTAATTCCCTGAACATCATAATGGTGAAAGCTGCATATGCTTAAACTAACAGTAACAGGAATTTCATTATTTAAGATTTTTGCTAATCAGTGTCTGTAGATTTGGGGAGAGTATTTTCAACTTCCACAATTGCATATCATTTATTGGTTTCATATGTGCAAAATATTTCTGAATAAAGTAGCACAATTGGAAATTTGGATTTAAGAAAAGAATTTTGCATTAAAACACAATGTTCAGAATTTATTAACTTTGAACAGTGGGTTACATGGGTGATTAATACATTTTCTATATTTTATGAATGATTGTTCTGGGGAAAAACAGCAACAGAAAATGCAATTACCTCTTATTTAACGTGGTATCCATATTTTAAATAATCATCTTTTATGTTCTCTAAAATATTTCATAGGTGATGCAGTATATCATAGAAAATATATGATTAAAAAGTACCTTTAGGTTGGCAATATTGAAATATGGCTGCATAGGTGAGATTTGGAGGAAATACAGGAATTTAATTTCATTGTATGACAGTTATAAAATCACAGACATCAGCCTAATTAAATCTTTGCAGCAAAATTAACACTTACCAAATATGACCCATTACTCATTGAATACAGGATTTAAACTGTCAAAGTAGTAGAAAAATTAATATGTAGGATGCAAATTAATAATTAGTAAATATATTAATACAAGTCAGTAAAGAAAATACATCTTAATTTTTTTTCATACAGTTTGCACGAGAATATTTAAAATATTTTAGGCAGTAATTTTATTCATTTTAGGTTTCTGATTCTCTGTAAGATTAACCAAACGAGATATTGATACTGATATTGAAGCTGTTTGTTGCTTGTCAGATTTTGCAGTTTTATATAAAAATAAAAGATGAATTTGCTAATACAAAAAGCTATATTAAAGGATCTTCCAGTAAGCAACATTTTCTTCAATTGGATAAATGCATATTTAATTCTATGTAGAAAAAGAATGTTAAATATAAATCCAACAAAGACAGAAGATCAATTAAATTTCATTAGATCCAAATGACTCATAAATATCTAGTACCAGTATTTCTCTTATATTGGACATATGTCTTCAGAAGAAAGCATTATTGTAGATATAATTTGGAACACTAAATAGAAGAAACCTTCTTTCATCAAATGCAGTACAAAACATAACTGCACAAGCCAAAAATATTAACTTACAACTCCCCTTTCCTGACTGTTCCTGTTCGATCAGTACCATAGACATGTGTATGGATATCCCACACTCTCACAGCAGCACTTTTCAAGCTTGGCAACTTTAAAATGTGTGGACTTAACTTACTGCACCTGTGTCTGGTTTGCCAATTGCACAGTGGCCAGAGGGTTAACGTCATTGCCCAGAGGAGCATTGGTTGCCTTCTCCTCTCTTTGGAAGAGCTTTATAGCTCCCACTGCCTTAAGAAAGTTCAAAACATCCTCAAAGATCCATCTCATCCTGGGAACCCTTTTTTTCAACTATTACCATCTGGCAAACGGTACAGAATAATAAAAGTAAGAACAAATAGGCTGAAAAATAGCTTCTATCCCAGGGCAGTAACTCTATTGAATTCTACTGTATAGTACAATATTAATGCAATATCAGGGGTTTTCAATTCAATGTATAGAATGTGAAGGATATGTGTTCGTTTATTTTCATAGTTATAATGTACACTGAAGATTATATTAAATTTCGTTGTACGAGGTGCAATGACAATAAACTAAGCCTTCAAGTCCCACATCTTAAAGTTGCCAAGTGAAAGATCTCATTATATATTCAAAATTGCGACAGCGATTCCCCCAGAGGCTACGTTTCTTTTTCTTCCATATTGAATGTTTCAGAAAAAGAGAAAGACTAAAAATAGGATTAGAAACACCGTCATCCACCCTCCATTACACCAGTCTCACTGAACTATTTTGAACTGAAATTATAGGCGGGATTACTCTCGCCTATAATTTCATTCTCGCGATACTTTTTCAGTGCAATTGTGCCCTATTGAAAGTGAGAAATACAAGAGTCAACAGTCGCAGTGACTTTCGAGTTTCTTCTCAGTAATTTAAGAATATCTTTTACAGCGCTGGTCATGGACTGTGAATACACGAAGAAATATAGAGCAAAGCAATTTAAGCTACATCACCATTAAAAAGGAAAGCTAGTGTTTGCTTGCTTCTTCCCCTGCTAAGTTCGTACTTTGAGAGATGGCGTGACTTCCTACAACTGTGTGAAAAAGATTGTGCTGTTTGGATTGCTGTTTGCCATGAGGTTTTTAAATGCACAGGAACCTACATTTCAGCTTTCCAGTAAGGATCTTATGCTTTTAAAAGTATGAGTCATACTTTAAAGAAATATATTTTTCCTGTGACTCAGAATGCTGGATATTCAAGATAAATGTCTAGAATAATGTCTAAAGAATTCTTTTGTGTTCATTTAACTTGCAAAACATGTTTCTATTTGATGCTGCAGGCTTAGTCGCCTATCTATCAAAATTGCGCTTACCATTATTTAAGACGCACTCACACAAAAGGGACTTTTGCCAGAAAGAAAAGAGGGAGAATTTCGGCAGAAGACTGGCTTCTTTTCTCGACCACCATTCGCTCAAAGCAGGGACGAACCCTTCGTCTAGCACCGTTGAGTTCTGCCACTCCTTCCCCACACACCGGCAATCGTTGGCCATGCTATTAGAAACGACGACTGTGGAGAGTTCTTGGAGATTTTCATTTAAGTCTCTGAAAAGGAGGCGGAGACACCCAGCTAGGTTCCTCCTCCTGGGCCTCAGTCGGGCTGAGGCTCAATTCCTCTGCCTCGCGCGGCCCGGACCGGGCGGGGCCAGGCTGGATCCCAGAAACGCTTTCCGACCGTGCCCAGCGGTCTGGTCCACCCCTTCCCTCCGCCCCCGCCGCCAGCACCCGGAGACGCCCCCTCGACGTACGCAGACGGGAAGAGGGGGGCCCGTCCCGCCCCCACAAAGCCGGGGGGGGGGCTTGGCCGCCTCAGGTGCCCCCGTGAAGGGGGCCGACTGGGTAGAAATCGTGAGATGATTGTGCTGGAAGCGCTCCCCCCACCAGCGGTGAGAGGGCGAAAGGCCCAGGGAGAGCTCGGTGTGGGTCTGTCCGCCTGTGCAGCGCGCGCGCGCACGTAACGAACGGGTTGTTGGTAAAGCCTGACAAGCGGAGGCGAAGGAAGGGCCCCCTCTGGCTGGCTTGGCGCCTGTTAAGTGGGAGGTGTCCAGGAGAGGTCAAAGCAGTGGGCTTGGGAGTGGGGGGGGGGGGTATTGTGGTAAGAGTGAGGGCGGGGTTATATTGTGAAGGGGGAAGTTGCACACCCCATGCACAAAAGGGTACACACGCAAGAAAAGGTAGCTGTAGCACAAAAGTAACTACCCTGCATTAAAATCTTGCATGAAGATTTTAAAAGTAGCAGGTGACTTGAAAGCAAATAGAATAAACGAAAGGAAATGATCAACTTCTTCTACTAGTTTTATAAATGATTCAAATGCTGGTATTTCTAGAGAGGCACTGGTTGTATAAGAAGAATCAGCTTTAACCAAGCCAGATGATTGGTAGAGAATTATTCCTCAAGGCCTATAATTAAGAGTCAGTATTAAGAGCCATATGATTTAAAAAGCTTGCCACCATCCTCACTTTAGATGGTTTTCTTGGATTGGATCTGTTGGAATCTAGTTCTCAATTTCAGTATTTTAGTGTCTAGAAAGTCAAAACTTTAAGAATGGTTTGAGAACTGTGTACTTCTTGCCATACCTATACACATTTCCAAACTTGGTCTTTTTTGGAGTTTGTGATTGGGTTGCTTGGTTAGGGCACACATATTTACGATTTGTATAATAGAGATGTGATAATGCCACTACTAGAGCCTTGAAACTGTTGTATTTGCAAGTTTAATTGTTGCTGCTTCCTTTGGAATGTACTCTCAGCACAGTCATTGCAGTATGCTGCTGCTTTCACTTGGCAGCTTTGAAAATAAGAGATTTCAAGTGAAAGCAAGGTTTGCTGAATATATTCTTGCTGAATTCTAAATAATTTTGATTATTTTATTCCTTTATTGTTTGCTAGAACATTCCAATTCATAGATTAGACTGAAAACTAAACAAAAATGTTTTTTGTAATGCCTTTATATTTGTGGTATTCTAGATCCTATTCCTAATTATGTATTCTGTTATAATTAAAACAGCAAGGTAACCTTACTGTATGAGGAACTGAGTGTATAGAGAATCAGTTCTACCGTAGAGGACAGTCTATATAGTTTTTGGGGTCTTTTTTTCATATTAAGCTTTGCAATATTTAGATATGTAAACATTATAGATATATATATATGTATATGTATGTGTGTGTGTGTGTGTGTGTGTGTGTGTGTGTATATATATGTGTGTGTGTGTGTGTGTGTATATATATGTATATATATGTGGATCTTTGGTTGTTCGGGTTTTCTCCCGCGTAAGATTCGAAGTATCTAGGCAACGTTTCGATGAAGTCTCATTCATCATCTTCAGGCTTCTGTCTCCGGCTCTGTGCTTCTCAGAGTGATGTGAGATTGCAGCTGCTTCTTCCTTTTAACTGCTAGTGGGGGTGGGACTTGATTGGGTGGGGGCTTGGCTGTGTTCTGATTGGGTGGGGGGGTGTTCTCATTGTTAGGGGGTTTGGCTGTGTTCTGATTGGTTGGGGGGTTGGCCGTGTTCTGATTGGTTGGAGGCGTGTTCTGTTCAGGTGGGGGCTTGATTGTGCTCAGGTTAGTCTTAGTTGCTGGGGGATTTGAGTTGGTGAGCTGTGATCTTGCTGTTTGCTTCGAATTCGTGGTCGTGCTGCATCTTCATAGTGGGTGTCGGTTTGCTTCATGTATGGCTCGGAG